TGGAAATATGTAACTCATTCCCTCTACTTTAGTACACTCACGTCACGTTGAGATGTAATTAGTATACGTATATACTTAGCAGAACCACAAAAATCAACAAACTAGTTTTGCGTTGAGATGATTGACTAAGCATACTCTACCCTAATACTATACCCGTTAATTTCTTTGTTTTTGGTTTAAAGTAAATGAAGTAGATAGCTTATATTATATGTTAATGCAAAGCATGCACATTCTACCATTCAATCTTTTTAATTAGTCTAGCTTTTTCGGCCAAACCATACACACACGAAGAGATATATATATATGTATATTAAAGGGCCATTTATATAATGGTCGAAGGAAGGGTTGTGAGTTCTGACTGAGAATATTTTTGTTTGTTGAACGTGAGAATAATATTAATTGTGAAATAGGAAATCGCCAATAGTTATTGCAAATTAGTAAATGAAAAAGAATTAAAAATAAAAATGGGTCAAAAAAGGGTGGCGATGCAAGTAGAAGCCAATTGCTTAACTTTATTGTCCGCAAGGGAAGACTTGTCCAAACTAGGCGCCTTAGAATTATCTTCGTAAGCACGTCATTACATATTATCAGCCTATGAACCAATTAGCGGAAAATTATTTTTATTTAATTAATAATTTTAAATTCGTGTTTCTTCAGTTTAAATAAGAATGTATGGTTTTTTAAGAAAAGTTCCCAACCACTCAATGTTTGTCCACTTCCAAGCTTAGTTTCTCTATCACAATCTTTGGTGCCCTTAAAACTATCCCAAGCTTAGATGCAGATGGGAGTGGATAGAAATAAGGAGTATAAATTGCATTATTGAAGTCAATTATAAGCATTAAGTAATTTATGCATGTTTAAATAAATTAATTCTTCTTTCAAATTTTTTTTATGATTATAAAGTTATTTAATAAGATAAATATTGTTATAATATTTTTTGTTACATTATAAGATAAAGTAAATTACATGGATACCCCTTAAATTTTTACAAAATTATTCTCTCACTCATTATTTTTTCTATCCCTATAATAACTCCATTGTTTAAAAAATATTATACTATCTCGTTTTAAATATATTATTTTAAGTTTTTAACCCCCTTAATTATTTGAAAGATATTATATTGTAACCCTCTATAAGAGATATTACTGTAAATCTTAAAAAAAAAAAAAGGATGATAGTGTAATTTTGTGAAGTCTTAGGGGGTGGGTGTCAGATCAATTTACTCTATATATGTTGTTTGAACATTATAAAGGGGTAAATGTGTAAAAATTTTAAATTACTTGTGCTTAGACAAATTTAAATGATTGTGGATTTTTTTAAAAGCGATCGGGGCATTCACACATTTCGAATTGTGGGGTTTCATATTAAATAATAATGTGAGTCATGAATGAATTAAAAAATAAAGTGTCAAACCTTTAGAGTCCTATGTTTTTTCCCCAGTCAAGAACATTATTATTAGGTTTCAATAAAAAAAAATATATTAATCTATTTTCCTCTTGGCTGTTGGTGCTTTTAAAAAAATATTTACATTTTTTTTAAGCATTTGGTAGTTTACCTCTTTTTTTTTTTAAAAACAATTTAAAAGCCGCTTGGAGAAAAGACCACAGGCCCAAGTGAACAACGGAACCTTACGAAATTTAATTTGTACTGGGCCATGTGGATAAGGCCTGTATTCACAAAAAAAATCTTGAAGATCATGATATATACACCTCCATTTTTTTACAAGTACACCTCCTTTATTTTTTTAAAAAAATTATAAAATATTGTAGTTTTTTTTTAATTTTTTTAATTTGACACCTTCAACTTTTAATTTGCTACTTTCTTTTTTTCATATACTTTTTGTTCTCTTTCAATTTTTACATATTAACAAAATAGGTGGGTGAAAGAAAGGTAAGGGAGTATATGTAAAAATTGAAAAAACAAAAAAAAAAAGGAAAAATGTGTGAAAAAGATACTAAATAAAATGTTGTAGGTGTAAAATTAATTTTTTTTTAAATTAAATTTTTTTTTAAAAGGAGGTGTACTTATAGAAAAAAGGAGGTGTATATATCATCAACCAAATCTAGATAAGGCTTGTTGTTGGGCTTTGATGAAGAGGATGCAAGAGTTGTCGATGATATAATAATTTTTTTTTTAAAGAGGATGGATCTTTGTGCTTACCGTATATTCAATTCTAACTCATACTGGTCTAAAAAATAATTAACATTTAAATTTTTTTCATTTATATCAATTATTTGTTATTTTAAAAATTAATAACATATTAATTCCTGTTTTTCTAAATTTATCATTGTCTTTTAGCCTTTTTATTTAGTAAAATAAAAAATAACAAAATATTATCTATTAAGCCAAAAAATATCACTAATACAAAATTATTTAAAAATATGTTTTTGAAATAATATAATACATTAAATAAGTTTAAATGAATTGAAATATAATCTAAACCTATCTTCAAAATATAATAATTTAATTTTTAAAAATTGAAATGATCAAAATTAATTTTAGACCAGATGAAGTAAATGATGGCAAGACCCTTCTCTTCTTCCTCAGTGCCGGACTAGTCATTTGACAATGGCTTATGGCTGCAACTTTTTCAAGATGATTACTAAATTTGAAAGCTACACCTTCCTTTGAAATAATGTTATCCTTGACAAAGGCTATGAAAGCTCCTTTTTAAATGATGGAACAAATGTCATCTTTTTAGCCAAAGTTCCGTAGAAAAAATGTCATTTACAAAGTCTACAATGTTAAAGAAAAGAGGAATCATGAGGTAAAAATATGGCATGACATTAACAGCGGTTAGAATAAGTGGTAGAAACTTGTATTTCTTAATTAAATTGTTTAAAATTTGAATTTTTACTTTGATATAAAATAAATTAGAAATAGATGAAAATGTTGAACATTTTTAAGAGAAGGAAGAATAAAATAATTTTTTCAAGGGTTAAAATTAATTTATACATAAATTAAATATGTTTTAAAAATAATATATTTTTTTACAAATTAATTTATATAAGCTTAATTTTTTTTTAAAAAAAAACATTTAATTTTCTTTTAATTTTTTATTTACGATAAAGTTTATGTGAATTGGACCGAACTCATTTTCTAAGCACCGATTGCTTGAAAAGATAATAACGGTTTTTTAATTACTACGTCAATTTACACCACTAAAATAGTGGAACTGAACAAACAAAAAAATCAAGCAACTTGCTTTTAATTCCATTGACCAAGAAACCTTAATCATAATGTTTCTTAACCTAGAACCCCAAAACTCTGATTCATCTTTTTAGCCATTCAATTTTATCATTCACCTCTTTTTAGCGCACTAAATTAATCATCGTCTCTCATTTTTTACAGGTATGCACTATCACTGTTAAATCTTTGTACCATGATTCAATTGAATTAATATCCTACGAAGACACTTTATTGTTACGTGAGAGTGGTATCTTTTGAAGCTTATAAGCAAATTCAGTATTTTTCTTTAAATTTTATAAATTGGGTTTCGCTAAACCACTACTAAATCCAAACAAATCTTTACCAAACTCAAAACCTACCTTGTAGGAAGAAGACAAAAAGAAAAAGATGAAACAAAACAAGAGTATAGATATTAGATAAGATGAATCATTATCCATACGCACATGCTTATGTAATTCACATCTCTACCCTTGTTGAATAACACAGTAAGAATGGTGTCTCTATCATGTTATTTTCTCAAAAACAAAAATAATGTCAAACATGCTCTTATTCCAGGATGTTTCGGATTGTGGGCGTGATATGCTTGTCAACAGTGGGCTGTTTATAATATTACACCTGTATTTACTAGGAAGGATCCAAGGGAAAATTTAAATACAATGCATTGTGTATTTTTTTTATAGAATAAATAAATAGGAATTCGTGTCAACTTTGTGAAATGATTGAAAAGTACTAATAACTACAATCAGTAGTTACTTGTCGACATGACACAAAACATCTACATGTATAAACTTATGATACCTCTTTTAAACAAACCATTTAACATGTAGGAAAAATGCAGGTTTCGTTATCCACTAAAAATTTGCATTTTCACATTTAATTAATGTTTACATCGTGTATATTATTTTGAGTTTAACATTCAGTTTAAAATAATTTTACAATACAATCAATCAGATACTATCATTTATATCTTTATTTATTATAAAAGTTAATAATTTATCATAAAATTTGTTATTAGATCATGGTTTTAAATTACTTTATACGATTATCTATTTTCTCTTTTCTTTCATTTTTCTATTATGTATTATATACTTGTTGTATGGTAGAGTGATTCAATTTTTAATAATTGTCAACATAAACTAATCTTAAAGAAACTTGTTTGAAGTGGAAGAGAGGGGTGAACTCAGTTGATTTGACCTTGCAAGTTTCCTTGCAATAGCACTCTTCCTCTCTCTGTCATAATTCATTTGCAATTCCTGTTGAAACCATGTCCCTAGAGGTATATGAACAAGTATCGCTGTCTTTCTTGGTCTTCTGTCGGTGTTTGTGACCTCAAAATTTCGTTCACCAATTTTGGGTTGAATTTTGCATACCCTCAAGTTTTTTTCACTTTCCCAGAAAATTTAGTGTTTGCTCAGTGGTGTGGATAGTCAGAGTTGTGAGCTTTTGTCCCTTTTGGTTATTATAGTTTGATTCCCTCACCAAGTTCTATATTCATGATGTGTGTGTTTTGGAGTTGCAGATAGAGACTTGGACAGTTTTGGTTGCCATTCTGTGCATCTTGGTCTTTATTCTGAAGGAGATTGTTATGGGAGGGAAGAGTTCAAAAGGGAGTGGTAGGAGGTATGAGTATGATTATGGTGCTTCTTCATCTTCATGGAATAACCATGGTGGATACCCTTCATCGTACCAAACACCTCAGCACCAGCATGCACCAGCACCACCATCAGCTCCATTTCATGACTATGCACAGCCAAAAAGGAAGTTGGATAGGAAATATTCCAGGATAGCTGATAATTACCGTTCTCTGGATGAGGTAATTGGATCATTGCATGTAACTGTTTTTTGGTTTTCTTGCATATTGTTAGCAATTATTCTTTGGTTTTGCTCGTTGTCGTTATCATTGACTCTTGTCTAATTGGGGGTAACAATTTAATTGCATACCACATTGACTTAAATAAGTATACTCCCTGCCCTGCTATGCTAGTGTGAATGCAGTTTGGATAAAGTTCAAAGGAAAATAGAAAGTGAGATAAAAGAAAGGGAATCGATTTAATCCATCTAATTGGCTAAAAGGATATGTTTTGAATTGTTCTGCCCAAAATCAGTCTACTTTTCTGCCTCCTTTTACCATGAGAGTTGAAATATTTAAGCTCTTAATTGGTTTTAATAAATAATAATTATAACAATTTAGTGTAATGGTAAGCACGAGATATGGACTTAGGGTTCAAGCCACAGAAATTACGTAAACAAGTTTTTTCTTTTTATTTATGAACATTATCTGCACAATATTTTAAAACTGACAACCAGGAGTTGATTTACACTCACAGAGTGTAACTTTTGCTAGGCAAACATTATTTTAACATTGACAGTAGTTACACAAACAAGTTTAATCGAAAGAAGTGGCTTAAGAGAGGATGCTGCACAGAATACTGTTTCATCTCTTTCTTGCTTCCTTATTATGTATCTATGCTTTTGCTGTCAAGGAAAACTGTCAGTGTACATTAAAAAGGGAGGAAAAAAGAGGGAAAAAAAACACTATGTCAGTATGTTACTGTGAGCAAACTAATCCAAATGTACAGTGAGGTTGTCTTGAGATTTAGGGATGAAGCCAACTGCTTAAATTCTTTATACTTTTTTCTTTTCTCAAGTTTCAATATATCAGTTTTTAATATTCACTACTGATTGTACAAGTAACCCATAAAGAATTATAGATGTCTCATACTAGCTACTGTTAAAATTGATGTAAGCTTTACAACTCCAGAGAGACAATACTCAATACTTGTCCAATAATGAAATAATGAAGTAATGAATACAGGTTACTGCTGCACTTGCTAATGCTGGGCTGGAATCTTCTAATCTCATTGTTGGCATTGATTTCACAAAGAGCAATGAGTGGACAGGTGTTATCTCTTACAATTTGATGCTTGAATCATTTGTAATAGGTTATAATGCTAAATATATATGTTAATTTGGAAATCAGGGAAGAGGTCATTCAATCGAAAAAGTTTACATGACATTGGAAGTGGGCAAAACCCTTATGAACAAGCAATTTCTATTATTGGGAAAACGTTATCTGCTTTCGATGAAGATAACATGATTCCTTGTTTTGGATTTGGAGATGGTAATGCCAAATATGAAACTAACTGTTTTTCCAATGAAGTTGTTCTAGTTTTTTTCCAGATTGCAATCATGATTTGTGTTTCTCTTTTGTCCATTTTCTTTCAGCATCTACACATGATCAAGATGTATTTAGTTTCTATTCAGAAGAGAGGTTCTGCAATGGGTTTGAGGAAGTTTTGTCGCGATACAGACAAATTATTCCTTACCTCAAACTAGCAGGTGTTGCCTTTAACTATTATCTTATAATTTTTTTAATTAGGCTCATTATAACTCATTACATTCATGTGACAGGACCCACTTCGTTTGCTCCTGTTATTGAAATGGCTATGACTATTGTTGAACAAACTGGTGGCCAATATCATGTCTTGCTAATAATTGCAGATGGACAGGTAAGTCTTTAATTCATATTTCACACTGTAGAGATGAATACTTTTAAGTACTTTGTATCAGTCATCTTAAGTATCATATCATAAATGAGGAAATGCAATGCTCTAGTTGTAACATTCAAGCATAGTTTCATTTGGTTTTTCTTGTAAATGCTAATATGTACTGTATCCCACTATCTCATAAGTTTCACTATCTCACACATTACATCTGATCAATTGTAAAAGTAAACTACATGTGAAAAACACTTTCAATTAAATGATTCATATTTGTTGTAGATATTCATTGTTCTGCTCTGTGCCAGGGCTTCAAAAACTCATATTCGGCATGTTGTCACAGGTGACTAGAAGCATTGACACACAGCGTGGCTACTTTAGTCCACAGGAGCAGAAGACAGTAGATGCAATTGTAAAAGCCAGGTAACTTTTTAGTTATATGATTTTCTCTCATGTGGAGTACCATTCTGCATTCTTAAATTCTTTTAAAATTGCAGTGAGTATCCACTGTCAATAGTTTTGGTGGGAGTTGGAGATGGACCATGGGATATGATGAGGGAATTTGATGATAACATCCCTTCTCGGGCATTTGACAATTTTCAGGTTTGGTGTATTTCACTTGGCCCTTTTTACTTGGCATGTTTAAATCACTAAAATGTGATATTTTTATTTGGATGGATGTAGTTTGTGAATTTTACTGAAATAATGGCAAGGAATGTCGATTCAATGAGAAAAGAGACTGAATTTGCCCTTGGAGCTTTGATGGAGATACCTTCTCAATATAAGGCAACCATTGAGCTTGGAATATTGGGGTATTAACTCAATAGTCAATATCATTTCATTACATTAAAATATGGTATTTATAGCCTGTTATAAGAGGGTTTTTCTGGTGCAATAACCATAAACTGAATTTGAAAATCTCGTCTTCATTGATATGAGCAGTGCACGGAGGGGACATTCACCAAATAGGGTTGCTCTACCCCCACCTCTTTATAATAGGACTTCTTCCAGCATTAGCACAAAATCTTCAGGGTCAAACAGTTTTCAGCAGAGGGCACCTACACATACTGGCTATAACAGTGGCGTTCACACAGAGCCATCTACAAGTTCTTTATATGATAATAAGGTATTAAGTCCATGCTTTAATGTAAGAAACGTCTTTCTTATTAAATTAACACTGTTTAGCTTTCCTCCCTTAATGTCATCATAATGATTCATGATCATTTTTGTATCACATATGACTTGGTCGGCTGCAGGTATGCCCCATTTGTCTTACCAATGGAAAGGATATGGCCTTTGGTTGTGGGCATCAGGTAACCAATTAAGTTACATGCTACTAATTACTAGTCTTGATTCTAGTATTTAAGGTTGCAAAGGGTCAAACATATATTAAGGTTTTCCCTCTCATGCATTTCCTCTCGTGGCAGACTTGTTGTGAGTGTGGAGAAGACCTCCAATTCTGTCCTATTTGCCGGAGCACAATCCATACTAAAATAAAGCTTTACTAGTTAGCTTGGCTGCAGAAGTGCTTTCAATGGAAATTTCGTTCCTTTCCAGAATAAGGTTAGTCATAAAAGTTTGATAATATTTGAACGTTAGAAACTCAATGTTCTATTGATGCATTAAGTCATGAATTAACTTGATTCATACGCAGGGCTGCAAAAAGGTCTGGCACGTTCCACGGATTTTTTTTGTCCATAAAAACAGCTTTGGCAATTTTGAGGCGAAGCTTGTATGCCCAGTAAGGAAGGGTTGTTTGCAGAAAGAATTGGCCTTACACCTTTGTATATATGTACTTCGTGTGTCGTGAAGGCATCATCATGTTAAAAAATAAACTCTGTAAAAATTGCTTACATTGTTCTGAAGAGCATTTATTGTTTTGGTCTTATAGATTGTCTTTCTACAAAGCATGAATCTGTATACTCCTTGGGAAAAAGGGATTTTTTTTTTTATTCACTTATCAGAGTAAAATACATGGAAAGTTGCCTCAACTAGTGAGTTTAACAAATGCCTGACCTTAAAATGAAAAGTAAACAATCGCTAATCTCCCTGAACTTTTTTCTTTTTATTTTTTACCCAAAAAATAAGCAATAAAATTCTTCAACTTTCAATAATTAACATATACATTTGATAACAAATTAGACTGCAGGCTCCTTCCTTCTGGCTCTTGAAGGAACTTCTTATCTTCTATGTAAGTCTGTATCTCCGTAATCGTCCTCGTTAATTCTGGTATATTCCGTGATTTCAGATCAACTAAAAAGTTCTTCGAGACAACGTTCAGCATCTTCAAGAATTGAAATTTATATCTTTTATAGAGAGCAAATCCAGCCATCTGAGAAAAAGTAAATTTGTTAACCTTAACAAATCTATATAGAAAGCATCTCAACGGTCTGCATTACTTACTTGCAAGAATGCATTGAGCGAAACAGCTGTGTATTGATTTGCTGGGAGTGTGTTCAAGAACCTTGCAAGCCATGCCCAACCTTCTTTCAAGCCGTGCAAATTTTGAACGTTTGTAGTTTCAGTCTGTTGAAACAAGCATGGTCAACTCTCAACTGTCAATCAGTTAAGTAATGTACACATTGTAAATCTCTAAAAATTTGATGTTCATAACAGACCTGAACCAGTGCACCATACACCTTCATGTATGACTCTAACCGCTTTAAATAATCTTCTGTACTCTCTATCTTTCCTTCATCTTCTCGATAACCAATACTTTTGAAGTATGCCTCTTTTGATTGGAAAGCGGACTGACCAGGGAAAAATTATCAATGCAGATTCAACGCCAATATTTAAAATTATATTTGAAGAACACGTGTTTGATCATTTATAAGAATAAATGATTAATGTTATAAAATTTGAGTTTGAAATATTTGAGACAGTGAAGAATAAGGACAGGTAAGAATTAAAAGATATAATTTTTATATCTATCTCAAACATTGCAAAATTATACTTTCTGGCTGCAGTAACTAATCATTATCTGTGAAAATGTAATTGTTACGTCAGAAAAATTGGATAGCTAATGTTTTACATCGTAGCAGTTAAAGTATAACCATTTTGCTTCTTTCATATAGAAAAATCGGGCTCAGGCCTATTATTTAGGCAAATTGTGATATCTAAATGACCAACAAACGAATTTTACGTAGAAAATAATTTTCCCCCCCTTCAAATTGACTTTAAAGACAGTTCAAATTTACAAAATTCACTGTTTCCTCAGCAACCCAGCCATACCATAATCTCTATAACGAGAATAGGAAACTACACAAGAATAAACGGCTCAGTAATGTTTTCAAGTTCTATCAAGTTACCTTCTTGTAAACCAGGTGCTTTGGGACGGTATATAGGCAAGCCATGTGAAGCTCAGCTAGAAAAATATCCATAGCATGTGGGACCTGCCTCACAAATGATAATTAATTGAACCCAAAACTTAAATAAATTACTGAAAAAAAATCTATATTCATTATATGCTTCCCTGGAGGCTACGAATTAAACATGTACCTGAGATGTAACGAGAACAATGACGTAGGCACTAGCAAAGGGAGCATTACCGGGGTTTTCACAGTATGAAACAACCTGTAAAGTATCTTGTGAGTTGCCAATTAACTTGGGTTAAGTAGGAGTAAGACTGAGTTTATGCATTGAAAATTTAGCAAGGGACAAGAGGGATATAACTTGGAAGTAAAGATGGGATAAGATGTCAAACCAAAGGTCAAAGTTTAAATATTTGGATCAATAATATAAAATGATGAGAAAATTAATGAGGATGTTACATAAAGGATACAAGTGGGATGGCTAAAATGGAGAAAGGCAACAGAGTTATTTGTAATTGCAAAGTACCTACCAAGCTCATAGGCAAGTTTTATCATACTACTATATGTATGCTAATACAATATATTAGTGAATGTTGGCTTTAAAGGGACAAGAGAAAAAGAAAGGTGTAGCAAAAATGAGTATGTTAAGATGGATGTATGTTAAGATAAGACAAGATAACCATAGCATACAAGGAGATAGCAGTGTAGCACCAATTGAGAAAAAGATGACAGAAAACAGGTTAAGGTGGTTTGGCCACGTACAAAGGTCATTAGAGGCTTGTGAGGAAAGTATATTGCATGAAATTTAGTCATGTGAAAAAGGAGAAAGAGAGACCAAGAAGGACAATGAGGGAAGTTGTTAAGAGGGATCTCATGGCCAATAATATCTCTCGAAGTTTGGTCTTTAATCGAGTCAAATAACGTCTAGTAATGCATGTAGCCAATTTCACCTAGTAGGATAAGGTTTTTATTGGTGTACACTATTTTGCTTAATATCAAATTTTAGAAAATGTAAAAGCAACAAAGTTGGCACTTTACATATATTAATTTACTTTTATCATTAATCATTCTCAAATTTGATTAATACTGAAAATGATATCAACAAAAAAAATAGAAATATATTTTATATGGATTTAAAAAAAATGGTAATCATAACTTAATAGGTAATATTTTAACCGTCTTTATACTACTAATTGATGGGAAAATAACATAGACTAAACCTATTTTAATATTACTCAATTGTTTTTGTTATGCTCTTTGTTCTAGTCAAATAAAGTAGAAGAAACTGTAACAGAATGGTCAATGATATGAAATTACCTTTTTAGCAAATATCTCAATGCTGATTGATTGAGGACATTGAGGATCATTCAAAAGTTTAATGAGTTCACTTGCTTTTGACCTACAAAATATTCAAAAGAGTAAACATACACGCATTACTAATATCCTGTTTAAGGATAGCAATTTCCTTTATTTGAAATTAAACCCTTGGAAAAAATCTATTTCGCACACATATTCTTATTTCTTAGGGCAGGTTGAAACATTTCTTGAACAGTGTAGTAACAGAAACAGATAGAACATAAAATTTTGTCCCTTTAAAAAATGTCAACGGTACAAGGAACAATAATTAATTAATAAATAGAATTATGCATTAGCAAAATTAAAATATTCACTTCACCTAACATTGTCTCTTATGCCCCTTATTTGCCTAATATTCCGGGAAATATGACCCTCATGGCGGGTATAATCCTGAACAGATGTTGACACAAACAAGTCACATCATTAAAATCACAGTAAGCTAGAGGAGGAGTTAGCTGTCAAAGTGAGATGAAAGACAAGCAAATTTCTTGTGCTGAAGAAATTTCAAGCCTCACATATGAAGGTGCTCATAAAAATCATGAAAAATAAACATTATATTATCTGAAATAATATTCAGTTAAAAATATGATAACGACAAAATCAACAAAAAGTGTTGGTAGGCTTATTGCATTAAGATAAAAAAAACTTTGAAGATAAACATCCCCAACTAATTTCAAAAATACCTTATTATAACTTGATCTTATCACTTGGTTTTTCTCAAATAGCTCTTTCAGTTTCTGCAGTCTCCCATGCTCTAGATTCAAAGCATTTGTTGCAGCTCTATACATATTACCTAAAGATTGTGTAAGCCAGTTGAATTTTCAGATGATAAAACATGTAAAAACTAAATAATAATTCATACATCTAAACAATCAAGCAGGTAAGGATCTACTGGGGGCAAGCTGGAGAACCTGTCACCCCTTGCCCCCCTTGTCCAATCAATCCAACATTTAATTAACAGTATATGAAAATTATTATTTAATTCATATTTAGTTTCGTAAAGTATTTTTAGCCCCTACACTTTTGATACAATAAAAACAATACAACAATAATTAGGTGAACTTTTTGATTTACAGAAAGGAAAAAAAAAAGGTAAACAGAGCCATTGAATTGCTTGTATATCTAGATAGAATATTAATAAAGAAATCGCGTATCAACTTAGCTTTAGTCTTTACTCTTTTTAAGTCCGTTCATTCAACATAACCAAAATTATTGACTTATGCTTGACCATTCAATATTTGAGATATGCAACAATTTCAAATTTATAAATATATAAAAATTTAGAGTTTGAAAAGTGTAAGCTCGATATAGTTTTATGTATATTTAAGATATGAGAGAATGCGAGTGACAACTTCATTATAATTTTTGCAACAAAAGGAACATTTATTTTACATGATCTCTCAACCTTTTGAGTACAAAATATTAGCTTTCATTATCATTGATGTCATGTTAGTTGCTATGGAAGTTTCACAACTTTTAAATATGCTTTTTAAGACACAAAATAAATGATGATATAAACAAGTCAATGACTAAAAAAAAAAAGTTATGATGTTTGAAAACATAAATAAATAGTTTAAGGTTTTCTTAAAATTTGTGTATTCTATTAAGAAAAATAAATCATCTTAAAAGGCTATATATATAGTACTTTTGCATGCAAGGGAATACACTGACATGCAACGCTGATGGCACCAAAGCCTTACAATTTTACAAAGTGGTTCAATGCATCAACTTTTTCTTTTCCCCCACAGTAAAGCATCAAACCAAGAACAAAAGACAGCAAGGGATTAAAAAGGGGAGGGGTGAATCACAAAGTGCATGAAAAGGAACTTTTGTAATTAACAAGGTGGTGACCGAAGATAAAATAGAAGATTCAAATGTCTTAAATGAGTTAAATCAAACCAAACTAAGCACGTAGCCTCATCAAACCAATGTTTGATAAGACAAGGACGAAGAAAACTAATTTCATTAGTAAATATAGAAAGAAAAAGCAAGTTTCCAACTAAGTGACAGACTGATGGTCAAAATAGAAGGCTAAGTATTCTTGCATATTAGATTTGGAAAACAAGAAAGCCACAACAACTAGCAGTGGCATTGGAAATATATACTACAAAAAAATAAAAGCAATACCAGATTCCTTGTTTTCAGCATTTGATAGGTTTGATGCAGTATCTGTTGGATGCCCAGCAGATGGTTGGGTCCCTCCAGGAGTAACCCTTTTGGAAGTTTCAGTAGATTCCTTTTCGGCTCTCCTTTCAGCTTCTGCTGCTCTTTTTTCAGCTTCCATTGCTGCCTGTTTTTTGGCTTCCATTTCTGCTTTTCTCTCCGCTTCCAATGCAGCTCGTTTTGCTTCCTCAGCTCTAAGTTTGGCCTGCACCCACAAAATTGAAAATAAAGAATGAATGGGCATTTGGGCTCTTAGAATAGTGGATTAAGCCTAACTCAACCCTACAAAACCGGCTTGTAAGGTGAGGGTTGCTTTCCACTTATATACTATTCAATTGTCTAATCTCTAGTCGATGTGGGACTTGGGTTTTTCCCAATACACCCCCTCACGTCTAGCACTATTGGGCTTGGTACGTGGATAAATGGTGGGTGACCCTTTTTTAATGATCTATAGGATTGGCGGGACTTAAGTTTTTTCCAATACACCCCCTCATGCCTATGAGGCATGCATCAATGGTGGGTGGCCCATTTTTAAAGTGGATCTAAATGGCTCTGATACCATCTTAGAATAGTAGATTAAGCCTAACTCAACCCTACAAAACCGGCTTGTAAGGTGAGGGTTGCTTTCCACTTATATACTATTCAATTGCCTAATCTCTAGTCGATGTGGGACTTGGATTTTTCCCAATATAGGCCAAAGTTTCTATCAAGAAAATTAGCAATAGGTTGAAAACAGGTGATAACTAACCTCATTAAGCATTTTCGACTACAATGTCACATGTAATTTGAAATCATACATATATATATATATATATGTGTGTGTGTGTGTGTATGTATGTATGTACATACATATGTATATGTTATCACAAATGACTCAATCAACTAAACTATAAAGGTTATGGTACCTCTGCTTCAGCTTTAGCCTTTTCTTGCTGCTGCTTTTCAAAAGCAACCTTTCTCTTGGCCTCTTCATAAGCTGCATCACTTCTTATTTTCCTTTCTTCTATTTGTGATCTTAGTTCACGGTCCCGTTGAACAGCTGTCAAGTGATTATCAAGTGCTTCTGCACTACAAAAAATTGCAAGATGTCAAAAATCAGTTTCTTTATTTTCAAATAGTTCAACTTCAAACAAACAATTATCTAACAGAAGTATAAAAGAACCAGAGAAAAATGGTTTTTTGGTGGTTTGGGGGCAAAGAGGGGGGGGGGATTTTGGTTATTAAATAACAATAAATAAGAAATAGCATTAATATCAAAGCACAATTAAGTTCAATTATCATTAAATAAAATCAGATTCCCATGCTTTGAATTTATATGCCCCCTTCCAAACAAATTAAAAAAAAAATTGTCATACAAATATTCCCCTGTTTAAAGCTCTCGCACAACACATTAAAAATGTAAACACAATACTATTGTGGCCTAAAATTCATAGTTTCTGCTTCCAAGTTTGACAAAACAGATATGTAGGTGAAAGAAAGAATCATAACGCCTGGGAAGAAAAAAGGGGGAGGGGAGGCAATGAAATCTTACATCCGACGCTGATATTGAGTGTCAAACTTTTTATCCAATTCCTGCCTTGTTTCTTTATACTTCTCAACTCGAAGAAGGGAAGAAGTAGAGTTCTGAGTTTCGTTCACCAGAGCTGTCTCCAGGGCTGAAATCTTGTTCCTAATTTCATCCTGTCAACCCAGAAGATTAGAAACAAGTCCAGTACACAGTATAAAGCAAACTATCAGTTTGATTTGAATCTTATTACAAGTTATTCAATTTGTAACTGCTAAGTCAAACACATAACAAGTGCATTGACAATGACATCAACACCTGGCTCACCTTAACCCTAAGTTGATGTTCATGTGTCAACTCAAACAAGGCACCTTCTACCTCTCCCAATTCATCCATTAAGTAGGGTCTCACTTCAAAACCAGAGACAATGTCAGAATCATCACTGTCACTGAAACACCAAAGGAATTCAAACATTACTGATTACTCTCAAAAAACCCAATACAAAGACAACCTCAATTTTTCTAAAATAAAAGAGATCCAAATTGACATTTTCATTATTCAAAGGACAAAACTTATATACTGTTCCTTAGGAACTATTTGTACAATTCTCTAATCAGAATTGGAGTTTCACATCAGTAATCTGAGTAATCCTTTAATATATAAATCTTTATTATACGGATTATCAAGGTGAAATTCCATATCCTCTTGGAAAACAGTACAACCAACTGTATCTAAGTTTTCTCCCAGTTAAAAAATTCAAATTTGCAAATAAATCTAGGGTTCAAGAAAGAGCACCTGAGATAAAGTTCATCGCAAGTGAACCGTTTGCCACTGCCAGCTGCTACTAAAGCTTTGTCATCACCATAATCATCCTCACTATCTGTGTCCTCCATCTCATACTCATCGGCACGCAGCACGAAAGCTCTACCTCTCTCAATTTTCTTCTCACTAAACATGCCTCAAACATCAACACAATTCAAATTGAAAACAGAAGCAACGAAAAATTGAAAGAGGGAATGAAAGTACCGCGATATCGTTTTAGTGTAAGGAGAAGAACGTTCGAAGGTGGAAGAAGCGTTGGTAGCGAGCTTCGCCTCCAAAGCGTTGAGCTCCGAAACAAGAGCGTCGAAGCTCCAATCAGG